ACAGCCCAGGATGTGGGGGCTGCTGCAGCTGCGGGTCCCTGCTGCCCAGGCCGGATGCCTCAGCCAGAGGCGTCCTGCAGGGGCAGGGGTGGAGCCCGTGCGATCACAGCACCCCCCGCTGCCACTGAAGGTCCCCACTGCCTGGGCCTGACCCCTTGGCCAGAGGCGTTAGGCCTGGGCAGGGGCGGAGCCTGCAACCGCGGGGAGCAGGGGGTCCCCTGCCCAGGGCTGACACCTCTGCCGGAGGCCTCAGGCCGGGTCAAGGGGCCAATCCGGTGATTGGTGATCAGAGGGTGATGAGGGTCAACTCCTCTGGCCGAGGCATCAGGCATGGGGGGGGGGCAGAGCCGGGTATTGGGGGAATATGATGGTCCCCTTGCCCAGGCCTGAAGCCTGGGTCAGAGGCGTCAGGCTTAGTCAGGGGGTGGAGCAAGCCATCAGAGGGAGATGGGAGTCCCCTGCCCAGGCATGATTCCTGGGCCAGAGGCCTCAGGCCTGGGCGGGGGTCAGAGCCAGTGATCGGGGGGAGATGGGGGTCCCCTGTCCAAGCCTGACACCTCTGGCGGAGGCGTCAGGCCTGGGCAAGGGGCCAATCAGGCGATCGGAGGGTGATGGGGGTCTACGCCTCTGGCCGAGGCATCAGGCCTGGGCAAGGGGCCGATCCTGCGATTGGAGGGTGATGGGGGTCAACGCCTGAGGGCTCCCAGTATGTGAGAGGGGGCAGGCTGGGCTGAGGGACACTCCCCCCCCACACACACACACACAGTGCATGAATTTCGTGCACTGGGCCCCTAGTGATATTAATAATAACAGTAATAAAATAATAATTTTGAGTTATTATATGCTAGAAACTCTACTATGCACTTAATATGTATTAACTCATTTAACCATCACTATGATTTTCTTTTTATTTCTAAACCAACAAGGTGTTCAGTTTGGTTTTTGTAAGAAATTTCAGACACCAGTTTGTGAGGTTAAAGGCATTTGGGGAGAGCAAACACAGAGGGAGGTAGCCTGGAGCTGATGAACACCTTTGATTTTTGGCAGAAGTTGCAAACCCATGGCTTTCTGATCAACCTCCCACTTCTCTGTCCTCTCATATTTCTGTTTCTCTGTGTTGAGGAGCTCACCCTCTTGGTGACTGGGCTGGCACTGCTCCTCCTTCCTGAAGTAAGCACCAGTGAGATGTTTGGGATTTTTCACACCACTGGTTCCCATCTTGGTAGAGGTGGCGATGATGAATTTCTGGTGTGTTCTCTGCAGAGGAACTTAATGATTAAGGCACAGAGTTGCAGACATTAAGGCCCCTGCTCAGCTGCTTCAGGAAAACCATTCTCTTGCCTCTGTGGTGCCCAGGGAGGATGATCAGAATGGTCCCAGGAGTGAGGTTGGCCTGCAGTTTTCTCACATGCTGACTGAAGGGCTTCTTGTCATGGCTCAACAGCTTTGGAGGCACATCTTCAGTGGGGTAGTATCTAGGCATTTTGCAAAGTGTAAGCACTTGGGTATCACGTGTTTTTTGTCACTACCAACTGGTTTTGTGACAGTAGCAATAACTTTTTCATTTCAATCAAGGACTTAGCTACTGAATACTTCCACTTGTGCATGGCCTTTCTGGAATACATAGCCGACCAGGAATATCTGCCAATTCCTCTGACCAAGATAGGGTTTTAATTGTAGTGGGGCTTCCTCTTCTTACTCATCTTGACCTTGGGGATACCTTTCTTTTTTTAAAATATATTTGTATTGATTTCAGAGAGGAAGGGAGAGGGAGAGAGAGAGAAAGAGATAGAAACACCAATGAGAGAGAATCATTGATTAACTGCCTCCTACACACCCCCTACTGAGAATCGAGTCCACAACCAGGGTATGTGCTCTTGACTGGAATCAAAGCCAGAATCCTTGAGTCCGCAGGCTGATGCCCTATCCACTGAGCCAAATCAGCTAGAGCAAGGGTTACCCTTCTTAACCTTGTCACCAGTATCAGCCTTCTTGGCTCTGGGTTTCTTCTCCTTAGTATCTTGCCTCTCAGCTTCTTCACCCACCATCTTGCAGGTGGGAAAGAGGCAATATTTTCTAGGTAGAGTCTGTTTTCATTAGGATTAATGAGTAAATTATGGAACCAAGAGGGTAAGTAACCTTTTGGAGATTACAGAGTTTGCTAGTGGTGGCATTGGGCTAATCATTGACTACAACTAGATCCCCAAAGACGCACTAGCATATTTACGTAACATGTTTGTTAAAATAAATGTGAATTAAATGAAAATGTAGAGTAGTGTCAGGAGTGAAGGGAACATTTTCAGAAGGAGAACCAGATGCTTCCTGCCCACCTCCTCCTTCCTTGGCGTTACTGAGGACATCAGTGTGGGTAATACCAATAGAGGGCACTGAAGGTCATGGGCATTAGCATAGAACCTGCTACTCTTGTTTCTCCCTGGTAGTTCCTTCGGAACTTTTATGCTGTGTCTCCTTCCGAGTAAGGCTTGAAATCTAGAGTGACTCTACTTTTTCTTCCCCTAAGGCGTTACTTTAGAAGAGGGCAGACTTACCTGTTACCTTCTAAGATTCAGGTAAAGGTGTGTGGATCTAGTTCCTATGGATTCAGCATTTTTACATCCTGGCTGTTTGTTGATCCTCCCTCTAGGCTAAAACACCTGCCAAGATGCTCCACTTGCAGGGCCCACAGATGCTGCAGATGCTAGAAAAATCCTTGAGGAAGAGCCTCCCTGAGTCCTTAAAGGTGAGACTGGAACAATCTCAGGGAAACAAAGGGTGGCATCTTCCTGTGACAGAGTAGGAAAGAGAATGAGCTGTTATTAGGCATCTATTTTTAAAATATATATATATATTATTTCAGAGAGGAAGGGAAAGGGAGAGATAGAAACATCAATGATGAGAGTCATTATCAGCTGCCTCCTGCATGCCCCTTACTGGGGACTGAGCTGGCAACCAGGGCATGTGCCCTGACCTGGAATCAAACCATGACCTCCTGGTTTATAGGTCAACATGGAGCCACGCCAGCTGGGCAGGAATTCACTCATGCTGCAGCTCATTTAGTTCACATCACCTCTTTGCAAGGGAGATATCTTATGGAACTTCTTTGTACTTTCTTTGCTACTTCATGTGAATACATTAAAAGTTTAAAAAAAAAATTAAGGTTTGTTCATTCATGTCATAGAATGCTCTGAAGTCATTAAAACTATTTTTATTTATTGGAAAATAAATATGACTAGAATGTATTATATCACATCTATGTGATTTTTTTAATTTTGCAAAATTTGTTGTGCATGTGCATGAATAGTAGAAAATCTATTAAAAGATTTTTTCTCTTTTTTAAAAAATTGAGACATAATTGATATACATTACATTAAATGTGTATTAAATTCTACAATGGGAGAGTTCATGATATTTATTCATAAATTTTTTTAGTCTGAATATTTTACAATGTGATTATATTTCTAAAAGATACGTTTATTGAGACAAAACACTAAAACTTAAAATTGCTTGGCAGAAATACTCACTAGAGACCTTTCAATGATAAAATTCCATGAGTTCATAGAAATAAACCTGTCCTGATCAACCAAGTTACTTTAACATTCTTTCCTAATACAGGGGTGGGAAAAGTAGTCTTACAGTTGTGAGTACATGAAACAGAGTTAATAAAGCTATTGTAATAGTCATAACCTGCATGACTTTTTACAGATGAACAACCGTAAACCTACTTTTACCGACCCCTGTACATTGACCTCCCACTTTCTTGTGATGCTGCAGGTTTATGGGACCATCTTCCACATGAACCAAGGAAACCCGTTCAAGCTGAAGGCTCTGGTGGACAAGTGGCCTGATTTTAATACAGTAGTTGTCCGTCCTCAGGAGCAGGTAAGGTGTCAGATATGGAATGAATGTGCATCTATGTATGTATTTGCTATGTGTTTATCTGGACCTGGCAGTGTGGGAGACCTGGGCATATAGAAATGAATCCAAGGAATAGTAAATAGTCCCTGTCCTCAAAAATTCCACAGCCTGGAAGAGAATATAGGTGAGTCCACAGATGAATTACAGCATGGTCTGAAATGTGCAGCAAGAGGAGAATTGAATCAAATGATTGTCTAACCACTGTGCTGTACACCTGAAACTAATATAAAATAACTAGGGGCCCGGTGCACGAAATTTGTGCACGGGGTGTGTGTCGGGGGGAGAGTGTCCCCCAGCCCAGCCTGCCCCTCTCACATACTGGGAGCCCTCAGGCGTTGTCCCCCATCACCCTCCAATCGCAGGATCGGCCCCTTGCCCAGGCCTGACGCCTCCGCCAGAGGTGTCAGGCTTGGACAGGGGACCCCCATCTCCCCCCGATCACTGGCGCTGACCCCCGCCCAGGCCTGAGGCCTCTGGCCCAGGAATCATGCCTGGGCAGGGGACCCCCATCTCCCTCTGATCGCTTGCTCCGCCCAAGCATGACGCCTCTGACCCAGGCTTCAGGCCTGAGCAAGGGGACCATCATATCCCCCCAATCCCCGGCTCCGCCCCCCACCCAGGCCTGAAGACTGACCGTGCCCAGCTCCCATCGCTGGCTCCACCCCTACTTCCTGCTATCACTGGCCAGGGCGGAAAAGGCACCTGATTCTCCGATCATGGCTGGGGGCCGCCTTTGCCCTGCCCCCCAGCTCTTATCTGCCCCCTGGGTTTCTGATCACTGTCAGTGGCAGGGGGCTTCTTCCTGCTTTCCCTTTCACCTCCCTGCATTGTGCCTACATATGCAAATTAACCGCCATCTTGTTGGCAGTTAATTTGCATATAGCCCTGATTAGCCAATGAAAAGGGTAGCGTCCTATGCCAATTACCATTTTTCTCTTTTATTAGTGTAGATATTGAATATCAACTGTAATTGAAAAATAAACTTAAAAAGAAGTAACACATGTGGAAAGCTGATTAAAACTATATATTTTAATATTTTTTATTGGTTTCAGAGAGTAAGAGGGAGGAGAGATATAGAAACATCAAAGATAAGAGAGAATCATTGATTGACTGCCTTTGCATGCCCTTCACTGGGGATTGATTGCACAACCTGAGCATGTGGCCTGACTAGGAATGGAACCATGACCTCCTGGTTCATAGGTCAATACTCTACCACTGAGCCACACCGGCTGGGCTATATGGTACATTTTCATACTCATTCATTGTTTTAATTTGTTTTCAAGACAGGACCCCAAACAGCATCCTGGTGATGCTGAAGACCAAGCACCTTTCATTATTTCTTGCATTTAGTGTATGGGAAGAGAGACACCCAATAGATGGTTTTGCTAATGTAAGATTATGTTGAGGACATAGACAAAAGCTGATCTTTAGTTCAAGATATTAAAGCAACATTTCTCAGACTCAACATCTTTATTGTTTTGAATCAAACACTTTTAACTCTTAGCTTATGGGGAAAAATTATTTCCTATCTTTTAAAAATATCAACCTTGAAACCACACCACTAGTTAACTCACTAATGCTAACTCACAACTTCTTGTGATACTGTCTTCCCATTGAGAGGCTGCATGGTATTGTAACCAACTGCCATCAGTAAAGTCAATAAAATAGGGCATTTTAAAGAAACTATATATAGTAGAGGTTGCAGGGAAAGGAGGAAAATTTACCACAACTGCATGTTAAAGATAAATAAGATTTTTTTATAGAGGGTCAAGGCAGGACTTCATCCAAAGCAAACAAAATACCAATTGAGTGGCATAAGGTCTAAAATAACATTGTGAATTAGGGAAATTTAAAAGCAAAAGACATGGTTGGAGTTGTTATATATTGTGATAATTTTTTTAAATTAATGAAATTAAATAGTTAAAATATTTCAAAACTAAAAAATATATAATTATATTTTAATAAATTAAGCAATAATCTAAATTTATTAATATTAAACATTATTACTTATAAATTTCACCAAATTAAACAATTTGAAAAATAAAGACTTTGATTTATTGATAGAAACCTAAATAAGAAATATTATTTGAGCAACTGTCAAAAATACAATCTTCTAAGATCTGGAAACAGCCTAAGTGCCCATCAGTAAATGAATGGATTAGAAAACCGTGGTACATCTACACGATGGATTACTATGCTGCTGTAAAAAAGAAGGAATTCTTAACCACATGATCTCACTCATTTATGGATAATTAAGGCCATTATAAACTGGTGAACAAAAATAGATACAGAGGCAGAGCAGCACCGAACAAACTGTCAAACTACAATGGGAAGGCCGGGGAGGGTTGAGGGGCGGGAGGGGAGGGTAAGAGATCAACCGAAGGACTTGTATGCATGCATATAAGCATAACCAATGGACATAAGACACTGGGGGGTAGGGGAGGCCAGGGGATTGTCAAGGGCGGGGAAAAAAAGGAGATATATGTAATACTCTCTGTAATACTTTAAGCAATAAAACAATAAAAGAAAAAAAATACAATCTTGCCCTAGCTGATTTGGCACAATGATTACAGTCTCGACCCAGAGACTGAAGGGTCGTGAGTTGGATTCCAATCAAGGAAACATACATCTGTTTCAGGCTCAGTCCCTGGCCCAAGTTGGAGACCGTGTGGGAGGCAACCACTTGATGTGTCTCTCACACACTGATGTTTTTCTCTCTGTCTCTCCTCCTCTTGTCCACTCATGCTAAAAATCAATGGAGGACTTTCAACAATAAAATTTTAAAAATTCAATGGGGAAAAATCCTCAGGGGAGAATTGATGAAAAAAATATTTAAAACAAGGTTTTCCAGCTTTATGAGAGATAATTTACATCTAAACTTGTGTATGTTTAAGATGTACAATGTGTAGATTTGATACACACATATATTGCAAAATTATCACCACCATAGCTTTAGCTGACACCTCTATCCTGTCACATAATTACTGTTTCTTTTTTGTGGTGAAAATATTTAAGATTTTCTCTCTTAGCAGCTTTCAAGTATATATAATACAATATTTACTAACTATAATTATCATGCTGTATATCAGATCTTCAGAACTTACTCATCTTATAACTTTTCATTAGTTTCATCATTTATAGGTGGGTATTCTAAGTCTGTTACCTCCATCAATTTTGATAAAGACATGTTCACAGCCCACATGTTCAAAAATCTTTGGACTAGAGCAAGATTTATTCCTCTGGCCAAAGATTTTGCTTGCAATTTTACTCTCTAGTTGAGTTTTATAAAGATTAGAAAAATTATTTTATTTGAGGTGGAGAGGGGGCAATATTGCATCTTTATTTAGAAAATCATTATTGATGAGATTATCTTCTCACCATATTTTCTAATAGTTATTGCTGAGGAAACCAGTGTTTTGAGCTGAATAATGTGTTAGCTATATAAAAATGTATAAAATACTAGAGGCCTGGTGCACAGATTCACATACCAGTGGGGTCCCTCGGTGTGGCCTGGGGGGATTGAGCAAAACTGGCAGTCCAACACTGCCTGCCACTCCTGCTCCTGCTCATCCCAGCCCTGCTGCACCTGCTGTGTGCTGATGCCCAGTCAGTCCCGATCCAGAGGCTCACACCGCGGCAGCAACGCTCACCAGCCGTGAGCCCTGCATCGGATGCACATCGGTTAGCTAAGCAGTGCACTGACCACCAGGGGGCAGCTCCTGCGTTGAGCACCTGCCCCCTGGTGGTCAGTGCACATCATAGCCACCAGTCAACCGGTCGTTCGGTTGTTCGGTCATTCGGTTGCTTAGGCTTAGATAGATAGATAGATAGATAGATAGATAGATAGATAGATAGATAGTGCATACTTTGAAGGTCTCATTGGGGAGGTAAGACAAGATGAAAAGAACTCCATGGAGTAATTAATAGGTAATATTTACTTAGTACTTGGAATTTGGAATGTAGTTTTTACATACCTGCCAGAAGCCGGTCCATTCTTGCTGCTTGACACAGTCACTGCAGGGAAGAAACATCTGCACAGCATATGTTTCAAGGGACCTGGCGTATATGGCATACTGTTCTTAATATGTTTGCTCTCCTTCTTGGCACTATGTGTTTTCACCAAGGTCACCTTTCCGAGAAAGGTTGTTTCCCCAGGTGGGGATTTTTTTCTTAGGGTTAGGGATTAACAGGACTAAGGAGGAGAATAAATCAGTGACA